TAGGTGAAAATGTGCTTGTAACATTATTTTCTAATTAAAATGCTTCTACTTATCTCATGTATTCTACGTTTTCTTGCTTATTGAAATTACTTCCTTTGAAAATGCTAAGATTACCACGTTTTGACTTCATTTCAATCTATATTTCACCATCAAATAGAATGAGAAATAATTCATCTTCCTTTCTTTGAAATCGACCATATGTTAACATGAATATAGTTCAACACTAAATAACATCTATTTTTCTTTTAAGGTCAGAGATTCGAATGTACCTATCCAATTTCTCATACAAATAAATGCATTATTTTCTTATTTCATACTTTTAAAAAGAAGAACAAAGGTCATTTTCAGAAAATATAAATTGTATATGGAGCTTTTGCAAACATAGCAACTATTTTCCGATAATTCATAATAGTAGAAAATTTATTTAGCTAACCTTTCGTTCTTTTTTCCTTGCGAAGATTTTGGATATGGCGATGCAAACGCCAAACATGGCTCAATAATTATAAAAATTTATTATTAATAGTATAGGAAAAATAATTCATGTATCAAAATTCTCACACAACTCATCACTTTCATTATTCACGTGATTCGTCATTTAAAATAATTATTTAACAACTTCTAAACAAATATATGTCGTATTAAACAATATTTAAAAATTAATACAAGCTAAAAATAAAGGAAAAGAGGATAAAAATTGAAAATGTATGGCTGAACTAACCATAGCTCACCTGGTTAAGATATTATCACCGATGGAAAAGTTATGAGTTCGAATTCTCATCCTCAATATATGTTATTATTAAAAAAATTTTAAAATTTATGTAAAATGATAATATCGAATACACCTTTAGCAGTAAAACCTTTGTACATAATTAAAACGTTTATTTATTGAATTATTGCTATTTGAAAGGTAACTATTTTTTTTAAGCCAAGTAAAATAACAATCTCTATCATTAGTCAAAATTTTAAAAATTATTCGAATATTCAATTGATTGTTATTTTTTATTTTATGATATAAATAAATAATAGATTAAATTACAAATTTAGTTTTTAAAGTTTGAGCTGATCTCAATTTAGTTAATATAGTTTCAAAAGTTTTAATTTGCTCTTTTAGAATTTAAGCTATATTTCAATATGGTTCCTATGGTTTAAACCTCAAAAATCATCCATATTGATACTGTATTGAATATGAGTACTGAAATAAATAAAGAAAAATAAGTAGATCTTTGATAGATAAAAATATAATTTACGGATTATTGGTGAAGTTTAATTGAATCATAGTAACCAAATTACAAGTTTTAAAATTAAATAGACTAAATTGAAACTAATTTCTAAATCATATAGACCGAATTTATAATTAAACATAAATAATACTATAAATAAGCTCTATAGCTAACTTGAACATAGTTAATTGATAAAGTAAATTAAATATCAGATATAGAAACTCGAATCTGGGTTTAACTTGAAACAAATTATAAGATGTTTTTAAAATGTAGAAAAAATAACTTCCTTACCATTTCTAATTTTCACCCATAATTAAACTACATGGATAAAATAAAAAATTCAGCCAAAATTTTTATTTTTGTTATAAAAACTCGTCTCTTACATTTCTTTTTTTGGAAGGAAGCTACGATTAAATAAATGGTGTCCTAAAAATACAAGATCTTGAACAATCATCTCACTAGTCCATCCTTAAAATTTTGTTTCCAATTCCAACAACCTTGGATCAAAACATGACAAAAAGAAAAAAGGAAAAAAAAAATGATGTATTGGGTGGGTTTATTGCCAAGTTCTTATAATTATTGAAGAATCTCCCTCACTAAATTTTTGTTGTTCATCACAAAATCTTGGCCCAAAACTCCCCCATCAAAATTAATTCGATTCTACGTTACAAACCCACAAATTATTATTAACAAACATTCAATTCAGAATCCCTCAAATCATTGTTAGCTCGACAACATTATGAAATCGGCCTTCAACATTATAATGGGCATTCGCATTCCCCTGTTGGAATGGAAGAAAGAAGCAGATTTAGAAGAGAGAGAGAAGAGAGAGAGGAAGAGTCATCTTCTTTAATTCCTAATTCTCCCTGTATCTCTTGTCTTGTATTTATTGCCTTTCTCTTTCAGCTCTTTCTTCGCTGTGTTCTTGTGTCTTTTTCTCATCTGCTGTCTCGTTTCCACCGCCATTTTTAATGTGGGGGTTTTAGTTTTGGTTTTTTTCTTTTGGGTTTTCCGCTGTTAACGTGAAAACCAAAAACCCCAATTGTTTGATTAATTCGGTGAAGCCAATGGAGTAAGCTAAAGGACAATTTTTATCGCTTGCAATTTACAATTAACCAGCGGGTACTTATCAATGGCTCTGCCCGCATCCACATCCACAACTACCTCCAACGCTACTACTACTAATTCCACTTCTTCTTCTTCTTCTTCCTTTCAGAATAACCAACCCACTAAGCTTAAGCGCCGCAAGTGCCGGAATATCACTGTTTCTGCTAAATCTGATTCGTTTTCCTCTTCTTCTTCTTCTTCCTCATCTGGGTTTCAGGCTTTTTCCCATAAGAAACTTGATCGACCTGTGGTGATTGTTTCTTCCGAGAATTCATGGTGTTGCCCCGCTTCTAGACCTACTGTGACCCCTTCTGTTCCTCCGCCGCCGCCGCCTCCTCCCCCGTCGCAATCTCGCCGGAGGGGTACTTCTCCAACACCCACGAACGCGAGTGGAGCATCGGATTTGGTAATCACGGCCTCTGGGTCCGATTCGCCTTCTGCTTTTAGGGTACGGTTTTCTCCGGGCAGTGTTTCCCCGGTTATGGACTTCACCACGTCTTCTTCCTCCACCGCCGCGTTTAATGGCCACTCTGGATCCAACCACGACGCTTTCCCTTCGAGCTTCTCGAAGTTCAACTCTGCTCTCACAGCTGGGCTTTTGAACCCAATGTCGCCGCCGCCGTCCACTGATAAAACCCGATCGAGCCCCACCCTTTTTGAAATGATGGCCAGCGAGCCCGATATTCACCCTAGAACTTCTCAGATCCCGCCGCAGAATGCCGCTGTTTCCATTCACAGGAACCAAATTCCTGTTCATGACAAGCAGGCCCTGATGATGCAGAGGATTTCTGAGATTTTGGGGTCTCGGAGCCCTGGAAACCAGTTCAATGATGCCTCCAGCAGTGATATTAAGCTCACATTGAGCTCTAGAGATGGGATCAGTGTTTCGATGAATGTTCACTGGCAAATTCTCGTTGCTCACAGCCGGTTCTTCGCGTTGAAACTGTCGGAACGCTGGGCGAAACAGCAGCGGTCACCATCTCCGTACATTGTGGAAATTGCTGACTGTGATGATGTTGAAGTTTACATTGAGACCTTGAAATTGATGTATTGTAGAGATCTCAGAAAGAAGCTGATGAAGGAAGATGTTCCCAGAGTTCTTGGAATTCTGAAGGTATAATGTTTTTAGAATGTGTAGAATTTTCATCATTGTGTTCTATTGTTTCACTGTTGAAATGTCTGCTTTGTTAGATATCCCCCCCTTTACAAAGTTTGATCACTGCTGTGGTGGCATTATAGGTTTCGGCTGCGATCGGATTCGATGCAGGTGTTTTATCGTGTTTGGAATACTTGGAAGCTGCCCCATGGGCCGAGGATGAAGAAGAGAAGGTAGCTTCACTCTTATCTGACCTTCACCTTGAAGGTGTTGCAGCAGGGGAAGTTCTGAAGAGGGTCTCAATTGAAGTTACTAATGGACCAGAAGATGGCAATGACAACGAAGAAGTGCTGCTCAAGCTTCTACATGTAGTTCTTGAAGGAAAAGATGAGAAGGCGAGGCGTGAGATGAAAGGGTTGGTGTCGAAGATGCTTCGCGAGAGTTCGTCGCAGAATGACCTCCGAAAAGAATCCTTGTATTCAGCTTGTGATGGTTGTCTGCAGTTGCTCCGCCATCACTTTATGCGGGCAGTTGGGTCAGACTTTCAGGGTGTTGGGGAGATTGCTAAGCAGGCTGATAATTTGCACTGGATTTTAGATATCTTGATTGATAGACAGATAGCTGAAGATTTTCTGAAAACTTGGGCATCTCAATCTGAATTGTCAGCTGAACACTCTAAGGTGCCTGCTGTCCATAGGTTTGAGATCAGCCGAGTTACTGCTCGGTTATTTGTAGGAATTGGGAAAGGCCAACTTCTGGCTCCTAAAGACGTGAGATATCAGCTTTTGCAGACCTGGTTGGTGCCATTTTATGATGATTTTGGTTGGATGAGGAGAGCGTCGAGAGGCCTCGATCGCCACTTGATTGAGGATGGCCTTAGTAATACAATCCTCACTCTACCTTTAGCTTGGCAACAAGACATATTACTAGCTTGGTTCAACCGATTCATGAATTCAGGCGAAGATTGCCCAAACATTCAAAGAGGGTTCGAAGTATGGTGGAGAAGGGCCTTCTGGAGACGCAATGGTGAACAGGAACGACCTCGACTAATTCGAATCGCCACCCCATCGGCAGAGAACTCATGAAGAGCAGCTGTGTCACAGTACAGAGAACTTAGTTTATGACTAATGGGTTTGTTCTTTCTCTGATCACTTGTGTTGAGGCCTCATTCGTTGGTATTGTTTAGTTTAAAATCTGCTTCCTTCCTAAACCAGGAACATCTATCCGTTCGACTCAATATACCCAAGGTTGGGTTGGAAGAAGATAATAGATGCTCCACATTGTAATTCCTTTAATATTGTTTTCATCTGCTCGTGTTTCTGCATTTTATTCTTTCAAGTCTTGGACTTCGTTTACCCTTTATCGAAACGCCATTGTTTATAGCAAAACTTTGGTGCAGTATCATGTAAGTTCAGGGTTCATTTGAAACCTGAGATTTTTGAAATGATGGTAATCTCTAGAGATTTGAGAAACTATGCTTGAAAAGTCATTGAGTTACTGTTTGAAAGCTCTTGTTAGATGGATTCAAGTCCAATGTAATGTGATGGCTGTTCTGTTCACTATTGGTTTGACTTTGTAGGAGTCCTTGAGTTGACTCTATCTGACTATTCTTTCTTTAATTAGGCTATAATCACGGATCAAGATGCCAAGAATGGGGAAAAATAGTTCTTTTAGGCCATTGACTCTATAGTTTCAATTGAAGTGTTATCTCACTTAAAGCTTTACTTTTGCAGCCACGCGTAACTGGAACAGGCGTATTCGGAGAGATCAGGCAACCTACAAGATGGGTGTACAGACTAGAGGGTAATGCAGAAAGTGGTATTGTTAAAACCGACGAGCGAAGAATCGATTGATTGAGCAACCCATCTTGGTGCACTGCTTGATCGGGTTTCTTTGACATACTGCAAGAAGAAAAAGGCAGAGGAACTGAATGGATTTGACTGTAAGTCTGATGTTTATTAGTTGAGTTTCATAAGGCATCAACTGTGTGGTGTTGGGAGTGGGCTGAGTTTCTGAATAGATAAGAGATTTGAAGTTGAAATCTGGTTTGGTGGTTGGTTTGAGAATCAAGAGTTGTATATGGTCCTTTTTTTTCTATTTTTAGATGCAATTGATGGATGCTGTTTGCAGCATTATTGGTGAAAGAACATTATTGCTGTCTGCTGTTTATTGTTCCTTTCCCACTCTTCCAAAAAGTTTGCTTCCTCAAACTCTTTTGAATCAATAATATGCCATTTTTATCATATTTTCCATCTGAACAGACAAGGTATTCTTGCTTCAAGAGAGAGAATTGTTTACAACTCCTCTTGTAAGCTTCTATTATTCAATTCTCCATTGTTTGAAGTTAGATTTAATTCCACATTAATTTCTAACGACAGTCCTTTAGAAGAGATTGTTAGCAACCCGTACTACTATTAATTTTACTTTTGTATCTAATAAGGTCCGGACCTATTAGATATTTTTTAAAGATTCATGAAATTGTTAAACACAAAATAGCACTTTTTTAGGTCCACAGATTTATTAGGTACAATTCAAAAAATTCATGACCAAACTTGTGATATACAACAGAAGAAAAGAACCATTCTTAGCATATAAACAAAATGGAAACCCAAGTGAAGAAATGAGGGAAATACAAACAAAAGGATCTGTTTTACTTCTAGTTCTACAGTATGTTAATTATCTGTACAGAGAGGATTCAGAAACAGTTTTCTGTTTAGGTAATACTGCACTCATCATCAAAATGGGTGAAGAAGGAGTTCATCATTGGACAATCATAGTTCAACTCTCCAATTTTTGCATGCTTTTGCCTGAAACAGAACAAAACACAACACTCTGCAACTCCCAAACGAAAAAAAAGACAATGGCAGAGCTAGAAAAGAGAAGGCGGCCAAATGCAACAGAAGAGCTTACCATTCTTGGTCAATCAACATCTCATCTGTTAGTCCAAATTGTCTCAGCTCTTTTTCAGTGTGGTGTAACAGCAAAGTGTACCTGCAAAGAAAAGGTTTCAAAATTGTGCTCGTCGCGGTTGTCGGTGGAAAAGACGATATCATGGCTTAAGATATGCCTGGGAGTGCTTTTGACCGCCACTTGCTCTTCAAAATCATCGGGTTTAGAAGTAACATAAAAGTGCATTGTGAAAATGTTAAATATATGTTTTAGTCTCTATTTTTTTGTTGAAGAATGTTAGAATTGGTTGATAATGAACTTACTCGACATGATACTTAATGAGCCGACAAAAATGCAGAAGAGATTGAAAAGTAGGTTATCTAAGAGAGAGAGAGTCAACTCCCTTGAATTTAAGCCAACTCACTAAATATCATGTCTCGTAAGTTTATCATAAACTAGATCTTTAACATCGACCAACAAAAAAGAGTATAATTGAATAATGTCAAGACGTAAAATGTTTTAAACAATAGAAACCATCTGACATGAAGATAAGATACCGCTAGCAATATGAGAGAAGTTCTCATTAGACAACAACAATTTTTCGTAATCCTACCTAAGTATGCATATTAGGTCAGTGAGGGCTTGTTTCTGCCATAGAAAGTTGCACACTAGACGATGTCACCTCCCACCTGACTTGAATCCCCCGGCATAACCAGATTTCAAATAACCGACTCACTTGCCTCTTTGAAAAAACACTCAAACATCATCATAGACTAAAACATACCTTTAGCGTTAGACGAAAGGCGAAACAATTTACCTTCCACCAAAGCCTTTCTCCATAACAATCATTCTGCCATTGCCAAGATTGTTGAGTCTCTCATACTGATCCACAGTCCATTTGTACCACCTCATGAGAAAGACTCTGAGAGTGAGGCCATGGGAGACGAGGACCAAGTTCATGTTGGGGTTTCTGCGGCCTGGCGGCTGAAACCTTCCCACATCAATGTCTGATTTCAGTGTCTCTCTGAACCCTGTTTTTGTTTTTGTTTTTGGCTTTGTTTCAGAGTAGAGAGCAGAAACTGTTGGAAATCTGGAAATTTGTATTGTACCTGTGATTCTGTCGTAAACATCTGCAGCAGATTCCCCATTTGGAAAGCGATAGAAGAAGCGACCATACAGCATTCTCATGGCTTTCTCAACTCTCATTTTCTCTCTGTCTTGAAAGTTCCCTTTCATTTTTACCAACACAAAAACCACAGTTTATGATTACAGATTTAGCCATTATTTCCATTTAGTAACGAACCTTTAAAATGTTATGTTTAAGTTTAAAAGTTCTATTTTGGTACACTAATTTCTAAAACGTCTATTCTTAGACTCTGCTTTTTTTTGAACCATTATTTTAGTGATTTCTGTTTCTATTATTTTTTCTGTAAAAAAATATCTATTTACTTCAATATTCATCTCAACCAACTTAATATTCATCTCAACCAACTTATATAACTTCAGCCTACAATAATTATTCATTTGTTACAAAAACTAAAATAATAATAAAAATAAAAGGATTATTTCTTAAAATTCAAAGACTAAAAAATTTCTAGTACTAGGATTTTAGAAAAAATAAAAAATTTAAGTTTTAGGAATAAAAGTTTAGGGAGAAAGGGATTAAATTTAAACCTTTTAAAAATTATATACTTTTAACTCTCGATTTTAATTTAAATAAATTTATCCTATACACTAGTTAAATATTTTCGTAGCATGCCCACTAACATTGAAAGTAGGTCACTAAAATAAAATGAGGATTGATGGGAAAAAGTAAAAATAGTAATAAAACTAAAAATAAAAAAATAATTGTGGTAGTAATTTATCACTATTTAGTCCAACAATACGTTAATTAAATACTGTATTAATGAAGAAGAAGAAGAAAGCGAGGTACCAAAATCTTGCTCGCGCAATCTGGGTTCTTCTCTCATGCCGGCGATACGGCGGCGGTCGAAGGAGCGGGCCAGGTGCTGCAGCGTCTGCCGCGTCCTCTTGTACGGCGACACGTAGAAGTAAACGCTCCAGTCGTGGGCCCCATCGCCCTCGATCATCCGCCGCACGTTCCTCCCGCACTCCTCCGCCTCCCCAATTCCGGCCTCCGTCAGCGAAATCCTCGGGTCCGCGATTCGGGTGTACGCGCTCTCGTCCACGTTCCCCTCGCTCTGCCCGTGCCGGACCAGAATTATCCGCCGAGGCCGCGGCGGCCGGATCCCGGACCCGCAGCACCCGACGCAAATCCCCGACGAACACCACGCCGTCGCTGATGAACCCACAAAAAGAGTGGCCATTGTTTCAGGGGAAACAAAAAAACAGTGGGCCTTTATTTATTTATTTTTTTTACTTTTTTCTTTTTTTTTAAGGATGAAAATATCCAAGTTTTGAATTTAATATTATTTTGCTCTACTTTTCTTTCTTTTTTTTTAGTACATGTTGTACTCTTCTATTGGTTAAATAAAAATATCAATGTTATCCATTTATTCAACCATATACTCGACACAATTTTTTCTTTTTTTCATTTTTTTTATATATATCAAACTTTCACTAAATTAATTTTAACTTTATACCGAACAAATTTTTACTGCTTATAAGTCATATACTACATTACATTTCTAGTATGATTTAAAGATCAAATTTGTGAGTTCTAACCTTTAAAACTTCTACCTTTTTTTCATTAAACTTTTAAAAGTGTCGATTTAGATCTAAATTTTTCAAAAGCATCTTTAGTTCTTGCTATATTATTCTACCACTTGATCTACACACTCCAGATTCACCTAGTTAATTTTATGACTTCATCTTTAGTGCATGCTCACATAAATACATTGATATATAATTCTTTTTTTCTTTTAATTATGGGTGGTATGATCGAATCTTCAAATACAAGCAAGAAATTGATGTGTTATCCTTTGTGATATGCTCGAATTGGCATATCAACATACTCATTATAAGTCACCTTAACATTTTTTTTATTACTATAAAATACATTATCAATTTAAATACATTTTTTTAGTTTAAGAGGAGGTTGACTTATCCATCTCTATGATAGTAATAGGTATCTTTCACTAGAGATAGGCTTGAACTGACCATTATTTTATTTTTTTAAAATACTTGTGGAAGTTTGAGAAGTAAATTGGTATTTATATCTAAAATTTTAAGACCATTATTATTGGTTTTGAAAAATCCATACCAGCAATAATCAATCATATATTGGACAACCATGTAAGAGGCCCATTTAATATGATGATGGGCTTTGGGTCATTCACATCTGCCTCAAGTGGGCCTAAGGAGAGTCCAGTTTTAACATCTCAAGTTCTATCGCTCTTTATCTGAGAAGTTCGTCGAGGATATACGTTAGCTATATTCATTTTAGCTACTACCAGTTTTAATAGAAATAAGATTCTATCAACCCCGCCTCCTTCTATACAATATTTACATACTTCTAATAATTAGAAAAAAAAATTACAAAAGCTTCTGTATATTAAGCCGATTTATCTTTTCTAATTATTTTGAGTTTTCTAAAGAGCGCTTTTGAATTTTTCAAAAAACTTGCATAAAATTTTTAATTTAAACCGCTTGCAAATTGGGAATCTCTTAAAAGTTAAAAAGTGACTCTCAAGTCAAAAAGACACATTAATAAATAAATAAATATTTTTTAATTGAATTAAATCGTTTTCTAATGCAATTTCATTAAGAGTCATTATTAATGATATTACTCCTTAAAAAATTGGTTATTGGTAATTTAATCAAATAAATCTTTAATGTGAAATAGGGGACTCGTTGCCTGTGGAATAATTAAAGGTAATTAAATTATAATAATACTATTAAAATTCAAACCCCTTCTTATTTGGAAAATGCATGAAGGGAAAAAAAAGAAGAAGATAATGACATTCAGGATTCATATATATAATGATAAAACATACTTACTTTTTTGAAGTTGAAATTTTAGATTAAGTTATACTTTTCGTCCACGTATTCTAGGTCGATAAATTATATTATAGCATAAATTTAATATGTACTTTAAAGGATATCATAACTTTTTTAAATATAGCACAAATATGATTTTTGTTTATTGTGTTTTATATTAATTTGAATTTGAATTTGGCTTGAGATATATTATTTTTTAAAAATTTTAAACTTTCTTCCATTTTTAAGAATAGAATACATATTTATTTAATGTTATTTATCTTTCATTTTCGTGTTGATTTTGTAATTATACTTTAATTTATTAATCTTAATTGCATCTACCCATGTAATCCAAAATCAACATGATGTTGATGCGTGCTAATGTGGTTGATTAGATATAATAATTCCATTTGTCGAGAATATATAAAAATTAAAGGTTAAAGTATAATTTTTGCCTTTTGTTCATTTTAGTTCATGTATTTTCAAAATGTTCATTTTAGTAATTGTATTTACAACTTTTATTTAATTTATTTCTTGATCATTCAAAATGTTGGTTTTTTGTCATTATACTTTTAAAAAGTAACAATTTTGATTTCTTAATTTTATTTGGAATCTCATTTTTTTCTATCACATCTTCTACACTACACTACGTTCAATATATTTTTTGAAATGTAACCATGACTTTATATTAAACGGTTTTCATTATGTGTGAAATTTGTGTAATAATTTTGTAAATAGAGGCCAAAATGATCAATTTTTAAAAGTAAAATGACTAAAACAAATATTTTAGAAGTACATAGATTAAAATCTACTAAAGTTGAAAGTAAAATGACTACCATAAATATTTTGAAATTATAGAGACCAAAATTATTTAAAGCTAGAACTACACTGAACTCAATAGAATTTTAACCAAAATCAAAACATTTGACTTTACGTCGATGAAATATATTAGTATTTTTTTTTTTACAACAATTTACCTTGAGTACCTTTTCTATCATGAAAAGTCATTAAAAAAATTAAAGGGTAAAAATGATTTAAAAATGTTCTCCAAATGTCTTCATTGCCCATAGATTTTTTTTGTTTTTTTTGTTTTTTTGACCTACATTCTCCATAGAACTTTCCGATAATAGAGTAATTATGAATATTCTAATACATAATATGTTAAAACATGAAACAAAAACATCGATCAGATAACCACTCTCATTCTTATCCTCTACAGATTGATTTAGAAAAAAATAATTTACAAATAAAAGTAAAATAGGAAAAACAAAATATATAAATAGAAGAGGAAAAAAATTGTAATATAAAAACCAAATAAAAAAAAAATTGTTTTGGGTGTTTCTTAAAGTGCAACACCATCTTTTAATACACGTCCCTTTGGTCAAAATCAAATCAAATCAAATCGAGAATTCCCTTCAAGCAATTTATCTTGGGTATTTGCCAAATTAAACTAAACAAAACATATAAATAAACTTTTAATAGAAAGTCTATTGATTAATTATCCTTTGGGATATTTTATTGATTTTTCTTTTTGAGCTCCCAAATATTTGAAATCTAGGAACTAACTTCACACCATGTCTCACAAATATTTTTTTAACTTTTTAAAGAGCTTTTAAATTTTTTTGTTTTTTATTTTTTATTAGTTTGGACTAGTTCTTACAAAAATAAAATAGTAAAAGATAAACTTATTTTTCTCGAAATAGAAAAACCGATTAAACATAAAATATTTACCAAACATATTAAAATAGAAAAGTATATAAATGAAAAAAAAAAACTTTGTAAAAAATCATGTTCTACCTTTAAATTTGACAAATTGTATTAATTCCTCGTCATAAATTTTCAATTTCATTAGATTTGGACATTGATTTAGATAAGTATTGCAATTTTTACCTTCTATTCAATTTTCACTCATTTAAAAAAAACAATATAAAAATCTAAAATAATAATAATACTAAATATTAATCACTAATTTTAAATGAAATCAAGATTTGTACACAAAATAAGTTTGGGTAGTAAAATCGACTTTTGGATTACTTTGCAAAAAGTCAAGAAAATAAATGGCACTCTAATATTTTTTTCTTTAAAATTATTTCAATTTCATGTCATACATATATTTTATAATTAATAATTTTTTAACGGTGCACTCATCAGACAAAAGTTGTGTGAGAAAGTAAGCATGACAACATGTCACGAAATTGAAGCTAAAAATATTGCAACACTTTAAGATTAAAATAAAAATTGAATCATTTATCTAAATTTAATGATATATTAGAGTAAAATTGTTCCAAAGTACAATTTTGACTTTTCTACCGAAGAATTATTCATAACACAAAACATTCTTTTTAAGAATGAAATATTATGAAGATAAAGAAATTATGGGTGCAATGGGGTAAGCCCGACCCGACCCACTCGAGTATGGTCGGTTCGAGTCGGTCTTTTCATTTTTTTTTTAAGTTATGACCCACATTTTTTTAGAAGATTTTTCAAATACCCACTCTATTGCGATACAAAGCAAACCTACGCTCATCCTCATCATGGACAAAAGTTGATCAGAAGTTCTACACGTCGTCATATAGTGATATCTCCATTGAGCGTCGCTACCATCGGAGTCTACTATGGAGGGAGAGAAAGAGAACTGGAGAGAGAGCTGCGGTGGAGATTGTGAGAGAGAAATGAGAGGGAGGGGAGGGAGAAGAGGGAGAAGCGAGGAACATGCAGCTTAAACGAGGAAATCCTCAATTTTATGGATTGAATCGACTCGAACTGAGTATTTACAAAATCGAATCAATCGAACAAATTCATATAGGTTCGATTGGATTCGTTTGACTCCTAATACAAAGTAATGGTATATGAAATCGTAACGAGTGAAATTAAAATTAAGTAAATAGATTTGAGGAAGAAAAATCCACGTAAGACGACATTAGAAAGCTTTGCTTTTTTCAAAGGAAATGTTAGTTCGTTCGTTTTTGTCATTTGCTTTGACTTTTTGTGGTGTCGGTGACTCGACTTTTGTGGGAGCTAAGCTCATATTTTTCTTTTCTTTAAATATTACTTTAATTCATATATATATGTATGTATATATATATATATATATTTTTAATTCTCATTCCTTACTTAACTTTCTATCAATTATTTTGTTTTATTTATCACACGTGTATTCTTCCATTCCCCATATTTCCCTTTCCACTTCACTTTAAATAATCAAATATAATATGCATAAATTACTTGTGAATATCAATAATTACATTTATAAAAAATCCATCCCTCTAAGCATGTCTCCAACTAACTACTACCAACAGATTTAACACAGAAGTTTAGAACCAGATTTAAATCATCTCAAATATTAAGATCTGTTTTGTAACATTGTCATTGTTTTTTTTTTTTATTTTTCATTTTCAATTTTTATTTCAAAGCATAAGTATCTTTGTTCCT